GAAATATAAATAGAATAAAGTTTTATTAAGCTGCAAAGAAGAATGAAATTATGTTATTTGCTGATAAATGAACAGAACTGAGGTACACAATGCAGTTTATCAAATCCATAGATCAATGAATATGGAGGACTGACTGTAATAACTTCAAGCCTTAAGACTCTGTTATCAGAATACCTTGCTTCTAGAAATTAATGAAATAATGGTAAAATTTAAAAAAATGTATAAAGATATTTATTGGTTGTTAGGTCTAAAATTTAAAATAAATTGAATGTTAATCTATAGTTGACTAATTAAATGCATTATGACTAATTTGTAAAATAGAATTCTATAGAAACATTGAAATCAAAGGTTTCAAAAGATTGGGCATTTGAAGAAAGTGGATTAAGAGTAGCTGAATTTCATCAATGCACTCTATATGCATGTGTTGAAATGTCATATGGAATCCCATTAATATGAACAATTGAAATGTTAATCAAAATATTCTTTTAAATTTAAAAGTCTCATTGTATATCTTAAATATATATTTAAGTTACAGAAGAGTTCACTTAGCTTTGAAAGTGTTTATGACACACTCTGTTAGGAAAAAGCGGGTTGCAAATGCATATTATATTATGAATCAATTTTTGCAAAAAAAATAAAACTTGTATCTACTAAATAAAGAAGTTTAGAAAAATTATTAATATAAGATAAATATAAACATTACAGGTGACTTTAAACTTTTCTATGTTCATTTATGATTTAGTTTCATCTGCAATGAATATATACTTTTCAAATAATTTTAATGTGAGTCATCAAATTATGTGATGTTCATGTACAAATATGGCATAAAAATCCCACTATTATGTATGATTACAAGTCATCCTTGAAAAATTAGAGAAATTTAAGAAATATTAATAAATTAATTGCACACAAATATTTCCTTTCTACTGGGAGAAAAATAAAACCAAAAAAATGAAAACAGAATGTACACAAGTAGATGAATAGCATCATCAGTAGATTAATATTTCTTTTGCAGTTTCCATAAAATATGTGAGTGAGGGAGCTGGTGACTGCATATACTTGCTGCTCCAGCTGAAGTGTTCAGTACTGCCCTGAAGTTCCTGACTTAGAATAATTTCCTGAAGACTGTAGATTTTATACTCCATTTTCCTCAATGATATCAAGTTGACCTTTATTTTAAAATGCTACTATTCATATTTAGTTTCCTTATGAAGGAAACGTATTTAGTTTCCTTATGAAGGAAACATATTTAGTTTCCTTATGAACTGAAGCCAAGAAGTTGAATATAAGATCTTTAATGTCAAATAGAACTGAAGTTTGAGGTAACTACCTAGAAAATTCAGCTTCAAAACCTGTTCTAACTTTCAACTGTATCAGAGAGAATTAAATAAACTGCAAAGCTGGCTGATATTTGGTTCTTTGGTATGATACAACTCTCTACGGAAGATATGCCCTTTATAAAATTCATTATCTCATTCTTATTGCATTAAAATAAAGTCAAAGTAATAACAGTAAATGATATATTCAATAAATAATCATTGTGTATTATTAGCTGAGATGGGCTACCAGCCTTTTATGCAGTTCTGTCTAGTGAGAGCTTAGGAACCTGGGTATTTTGTATGCACATAAAGAATGGACATATTAAATTGAAAAAGTAGATCAAAGTTTTAAAAACAACAAAAATTCCAAGTAATCTCCTAAACTTCTGATATGTATAGTAATTAAATAGTATAGAATTCAATGATCACCAATTGGCTTTAACATGGCTTATTTTTATCATTATTGTCACATTTGATAATAATATACATAAAATATACATCTTTACTCATAAAGACATTAAGGAAATTATTAAAAGTAAATAATAAAATGAAGGATGATTTTCTATTTATGTTAAATTTAGAAAGTTTCAAAGAATAAATTCTTAGCCAGGTATGGTGGCACACACCTGTAATCCCAGCAGCTTGGGAGGCTGAGGCAAGGGGATTGTGAGTTCAAAGCCAGTCTTAGCAAAATCAAGGCACTAAGCAACTCAGAAAGACCCTGTCTCTAAATAAAAAATAAAAAGGGCTGGGGAAGTGGCTCAGTGGTTGAGCACCCCTGGGTTCAATCCCTGACACCAAAAATAAATAAATAAATTCTTAAACAGTATAGCTGGTATACTCCTATAATGTGCAAATATATTATTAATATCACATTATTTATATAAAAATATTTATGATTAACTGCATAATTTTGACTTTTGCTTAAGAAAGGAATGGGAGCCTTCTAAGTTCTTTGTATCAATTTTTTTGAGTAGCAAAGGGAAGGTACTGTTTTTATTTTTCTCAGATTCTTGCTATTTCATTTATTTCCATTTGAGTTGGTTTAGTGGCAGTACTTTATATAGCCAGAAATTAGGTATAAAAGGGAAGCAGAGTGTCTGATAGTTCCTCCAGTCCTGAAAGGAGCTGGAACCCAACAACTAAAAAAATTGCTTCATTTCTTTATTTAAAGGAAAACACATCAAAAGCAGGTTTCAGCAGGAGGACTCTTGCTTCTCAGTGTGACAGGATTCTTGCAGCAAACGGGTTGGCTGGCATCTTGGCAAACCACACCCATCTCTAAGAGGCTGTGTGGCTGTGTGGATCCAGCAGGTCATCCCATCTCTGTTGCAGTGCTGAACTTAGATGAAGCGAATTAGGAAGTCACATGTATTGGGCAGTCTCCAACCAGTAGGGCTGTCCCTGGGAGTACCCAGATATCAGACTTTCCTGTCTAATGGCTTCCACTTCATTTTTAGTTCATGCACAGTTCAAGGATGGCTCCCGGGACTGATCTAAGAGATGAGAGGATAGGACCAGTATGGAAGCAATAGAGGACTAAGGATATATTGTGAAGGCATAACTAGTGGCAGTTGTTAAGGAATTGCAAGTGTGGGTGTGAGATAGAGAGAATTATCTGTCTTAGCCCAGTGAAAAACTGATGGTTATTTGAGCTAATAATGGACATGGAGAATCTTAGAGACAGAACATGTTATAGAATCATATTTTAGATTTGCCATTCTTGAGATACCTATTAGATATTTCAATAAAACTGTTGCATAAACAATTGAAAAACAATTTGGGGGAGGTTTGGGTTGGAGATAAATGTTTGGAAACAAGTAAGATGGCATTTCCAGGTTAATTCCAGGTCTGCCTCATAGTCACTGTAGCACAGTCACAGGCACAATAAGGGTCCTGTTGTCTTGAAGCTGCACATGCTGGGATACAAAGTCTCTCAGTCTTTATAGGAGAGGGAAGGAACCTGTGGTGTCTCATGGCTGTTCTTCTGTCTTTAAGACTGCAAGTGACTTTGTCCATTTCCCCCCACAGTTCATTGACCAGGACCAACCAGATGCCCTTACCTAAATGCAGATGCCTGGGAAATATGACCTGTATGGAGTATTTGGTTAGCCCTGCTGTCTTTTCATAATATTTCACTTTTGAATAGTAAAATAGTGAACCTGGAGGGAGAAAAAAATTCTCCTCAAAATATAGAAATAAGATCACAATATTATTTTGCATTTCTAAAAGTGATTTACCATAATTGGGATTAAGACAAAATCCCAGTTTGTGTGCCTGTGCAAAGGGGTGATATAGGTATGGCAGGTAAAGAAGGCTTTACCTTTCCTCAATAATTTCTTTGAATCTCCACCAACTACCCATTGCCAAGGTGAGCAATTAATGTTTTCTGTGGACCACTGTAAAATTATATGCAGGTGAGTCTTCTTCAGACATGACTTCCTGTCAGAAAATTACTCATAAAACATGCCTAGGAAAAAAATCTGAAGCCAGGATTACTAAATCTTCAGATGAAAAAAGGAGAATGCTGTTATTAAATAAGCCATCTCAATTAAATTTATTCACTTCAAAAACGGAACCAGAACAGTAAAAGTAACTGTTGAATTAAATCCTCTGAGACTACGACTCTAGACCAATGGCATCTCTTTATGTATAATGTAGCTCATTTCAATTGCCACAACACAGTAAGATATTCTTTTAGTGATCAAAATACAAAATTGTTTTTGAGCCTCTTCATTTGAAGGTTGCACTCCAGATTGGAAGTTCTGAATAGAAAGATTTTGCAAGCAAATATTATTGATTTCAAAAGGTCCAAAGACCTTGTTATTTTTGTCCAAACACCAACTGAAGAGATTAATAATTTTTTTGGAAGGAAATGGTTTTGCTGTTTAAGCATAATCAAGAATGCTTTTCAACTATATTATGCCACTTAATTTTGAAAAAAGATTGAAGAGATGAAGGAGATGGAGCTAGTTGGTGATAGAATTTGAGAATTTTGCTACTTTTGAAAGTAGTAAACTAATAATTTGGGATTAGTCACAGACATTCAGTTTGTCAAAACAATGACTGAATATTTTATTGGGTGATTTATTGGCTCTACTGGTTGGTCTGGATGTCCTAAATAATGGGTCTTTTTTTTTTTTTTTTTTAACTGTGCCTGGTTGCTTTCTGGACTTAAATGATTTAACATTGAAAACAAGTGAAAGTTGGATCACATATGTGCAGTTCATTGTAAGGATCATATTTATATAAATTTCTCATAAAATCTACAGATGGTGAACACATTTTAGGGAAAATATAAAGATCAGCAAAAATATTGAAATTTTTAAAAAGAAAAACAGATAACATTATTGCATAGTTCTGTTAAGCTTTGATTATGAGTTACTAAATTAATACCAATTTACATTTAGTTGATTAATTATTTGATATAAGAATTACCAGTACTTGGTGATAAATATTTGCATTTAAAAAGTCATAACCAATAGAAGAACTGTTTTTGCATCTATTTCATGTGATAATTGTATGTGCACTAAGAAAACCAGTATAATAGCAGATGCACGTGCAATTGAATTTGATGAAATTATAATGATGAGAACAAAAACTGAAAGCAAAGTAAACAGAGTGAAAAGTGCTAAAATGAAAATAGCATCAACTGATTTGTGTTTCTCTGAAAAATTCCAGGTGTTGTCAAAGTGGATTATGGAGATGTGTCAGTCAGAAAAACACTAAGAGAAAATCTGAAGTGTAAGCCTTTCTCTTGGTACCTAGAAAACATCTATCCGGACTCCCAGATCCCAAGACGTTATTACTCACTTGGTGAGGTATGAATTATTTATTTTGGTTAAGTTATAAATATATTTTGCAAATGGGGCAATTTCTATAGGGCTCAATTTTTTTTTTTTACATCATGAACAAAATGTTGTAAGGATTTTTAAATAGATCTATCTTAAATAATTTCTTACACCTTTTTAAGAATCATAAAGGTATTCATCAAAGAGAATTGTTAAAAGTGAAGAACCATTTTAATATTTCACACACTATATTTTTGTTTATATTTCTAAGCTTTTTGCTCATATAAACCTTATGTTTTTAAATTTGGGGGGGGGTACTTCCAGAAGCTTTTGTTTATGTGGGTGATAATTAAATATTTACTGTACTGATACCAAGACTGATAATTTTAAATATTCTCAATTCATTAAAAATGATATAATAACTAATTGCTTGATAATATAAATAACATTTTTGAAAAATACATGCATTTTCCATATTTTGAAAAATACACGTAATTATACTTTTAAAAGCGTGTTAATGTCTGGGTTGGTAAAAGATGGCTGAATTGTCTTACCTGCTTCAGTGTTCAATCTGTTGATGTATGACACAATTATAACAGCCTCTCAAGAATTTTTGTATCATAGTATTATAGCAGTGGCTTGGCCATCATTGAACTGTACTATTCTTTTCCAAAATATGTATTCTATTTAAAAATATACATTTGACTTCATCATAACTACACAAAGATCTATGTAATACATATTTAATTTCTCAAAATAAGAATTATTTGTTTATTAATTATATCCTCCATATTGGTAATTTCCAACTTAATAGGAATTAGGTTTCTGAATTAGAACTAATTTAATATTGCTGTAGATAAAAGCATCTTAACAGAATATTATAATGTGTTTTGGAAGTAATTATTAATTAAGCATGGCTTTAAGTTTAATTTGTCATTTTTGTAGGTCAGAATGGTAGAGTGTCTGACAGCTAATATGGTTCAGTCTAATACTTGTTTTGGTCATCTGCCTTTTACTGATCTGTAACTTTATAAACATACCTTACTTATTATAACTAGATAACAATGAAAAAACAAATACTTGAACTGAATGAAATCCTAGCTAAATTTCAATGACTATTTTATGTGTCTTATCCATGCCCTATTTACTACATCTCTGCCTCTTCATTAGGAATGTTAATATTTCTCCACAGAACCTTTCAACTTCATACATTTAATTTGAAAAATGTAGTGAAAAGGCTCATGTGTTATAACACTGACTGACCATTTTCTAGACATATGACTTTATTCATGGAATAGCCTATGCTTCAGAGTATTGATTTTGTTTGTTTATATTGGAGGGTGGTGGTGTTGTTATTTGCTAATACATGTTACCCCATGTTAACACTAGTCTCACCAGGATTCAAATTCAATGCCCAGATTACATGAGAGTGTTTTTCTAACAATAATACTCTTTGCATATTAGTTGTTATAACCCATTGAAGATTTCTAGTAGAAGGTCCAGCATTCTCATCTCTTTATTTAAAAGTTTGCTATTCATGAACCTCACTATATATGAAAAGAATGTTTTTATTTTTTAATAGAATTTCCTAAAAAAAAAAAAAAGTGTGTGACCAGATGCTATAACAAAACAGATATCAATAGAGAAGACTTTTTGGATATTCACTGGGGCAACCAGGTGACACTTAAGAAGGACCCAGGCCTGTGAAACAATGAGGTGTTTTTTTTTCCAAATTAAAAATTCAGCTTTATGCTTTCTTGCACTATACCAAGGAAACCCAATTGATTTCCTTAGAAAATAAAAATGAAATATAGTTTAGACAAATTTCTTTCTACAACCTACTGATTTTAATTAATTATCTTCTGTAATGGATCAGATGGCCATTCTTTAATTTATAGAAGTATTTTTGGAAAAAAAAAATTAAAAGAGAGGTTGAGTCTTTCAGGATATCTGAGACACATCCTGAACAGGTAGCGTGAGGTATTAGGGAAATCCCAGGGCCCGGAGTCAGGCAGAGGAGGTTCCAAATCCTGACCTCAACTTTAATGTACAGCACTAGCTTTTCAGAAGCTCTGTCAGAAGAATGGATTTAAAAAGCAAGCTTACACTGATGAATGAAGACAGAGCATCTAGTATCTTGCCTGGTAAGAAGAGATAGCAACCCCAGTATCTGCAGTTACTATAATTACTATAGGTATCATTTACTGATTTCTTACTATGCTAAAAATCTTCTAGGTGCTTTTAATGATTTATGTTGTTTAAAAGTGACAATAGCTGGGCATGGTGCTGCTTCTCTGTAATCCCAGTGGCTTGGGAGGCTGAGAAAGAGGATCACAACTTCAAAAGCAGCCTCAACAATGTAGCAAGGTTCTAAGCAATTTAGGGAGACCCTGTCTCTAAATAAAAAAGGACTGGGAATGTGACTCATTAGTAAAAGACCTCTGGATTCAATACCAAAAAAAGAAGGAAAAACAAAATAACAACAACTCCTTGACTTTGGAAATTGATAGAAAGAAATGTGATTATGTTGTGATTGGCTTTTGGTCACTTCTAACTATAGAAGTCAGGACTCAAATTTAACTGCTAGTTTTAATGGAAAACACTGTTTTGTCAGAACTGAAAGGAGAAAATAGTTTATTATATTCATTCATTTAAATGGCTTTTATTAAATAAGATCTTAAGGTGAATCCTGTGTCACATGCTGAGGATGCAAAGCCAAATAAATCCATTCTACTAAAATGAAGGGGAGGGGAGATGACAAGACATAATCAAACAGGTAACGAAAATCAGTAGAAATTATGGCATGCTATGGACTATTGTTTTGAAAACCAAATGAATTTTTAAAATATGAAATAATATTAATTAATTAATTAATTAACTAATTAATTTCCCAATTAAGTTTTGAGGTTTCTGGGATATTGACATTCTATAGTTTTCCACTTTAAAACCAGCTTTAAGCTGGGCATGGTGGCACACACCTGTAATCCCAGCAGCTAGGGAGGCTGAGACAGGAGAATCATGAGTTCAAAGCCAGCTTCAGAAAGGACAAGGTGCTAAGCAATTCAGGGAGACCCTGTTTCTAAAGAAGATACAAAAAGGCTGGGGATGTGGCTCAGTAGTTGAGTGCCCCTGAGTTCAATCCTTGGTACAAAAAAAAAAAAAAAAAACTTTAAAGAAATGCAACTCAACATTTGTTTCCATGGAAACAAAAGAGCATATTCACCAAACACTACTTCTCAATTCAATTTTGCATAGCTATTTATAAATAATTTAAACTGGTCATCTTGATAATGAGTTAGTATGGGACAGTTAATGGATAACAGTCATTTATTTAAAGTATTTTTTTCTTATTTCCTGCCATTAACCATTATTGGAAGAAAGTAAAAGAGCTATATTTCCTTATATTTAAAGGTACTTTTTCTCTAATAGTTAGAGTCACAAAATTGTATCAGACATCAAAGAATTGGCCACCAAAACAATGAAATATTTCTTGGTAGCATGTTCATATATACTTCTCCCTTAGTTTCCAGTGAAGTTGTTGAGAATTAATAATTTGTATATTCCTTATACTCAATATTGTTGTACATTAGCAAACATGAACATTTTTCTATGAATTTGTAACTTTCCTTGTTCTTTTGGAAGATACAAAGGCAAATATGGTATGGTATTAAATTTCAGTATTATTATATGCCATCACCAAAATAATCATCAGTAAATTATTGATATCAGATAGCTAAATCTTAATATCCTATATGTTTACATTTTGCTCAGGCAATTGAAATATTATTTTACCCAGCCCATGAATTACATGCAGTTGCCAATGGGAAGTTAAAAGCTGTTCAATTGCTTTGAACTAAAACCTTTAAGTAACTTAATGAAGCATGTGGTTTTTAGACTCAGTAAGCAGATCATAATGGAATAAGGAGATGGAGCTCTTTGCTGCATTAAATTCTCTCCTAACTAGCCCTTTAGCTTCTGTAGATTTAACATGCCAGTTCTGATCTTGTGAATATAAAGACTAATTCAAGTATAAGATGGAAAAATGGAATTTTAAAATAGAATGCCTAGTCTCAAATTTTTGGGTTACGACAGGATAGTGTACTGAAAAAAAAATTGGAACCTAGGAATATCAGAAGGCAAAAAGAAGTAGAGGATTTCTGCAGCCAAGAGACTTAGCTCTTAATGCTTAAATTTGCATTCTCATGTTTTGACATTAGTCTGTGCCTTTTGTATGGTGGACTTGACCTCAGTACTTCTTTGTCCTTTGTATCCTTTAGCCATACCTTGCATATATGGTATTGTATTTCTTAACATTTTTTAAAGCAGATTTAAATAACTAAAAATAGACATCTATGAAGCTGCTAGGCTAAAGGGATTAGGGGCAAAAATCAGTTACTAGCAAATGCAGAAGTTAAAGCGCTTAAAGGTTTACCGTCTTCATTGGTAATCGAGAGATTTATTTATAGATGCACGGTGTTCTTGACCCTTTAATAGGATAACCAGTAAGAAAGCTTCATTTCAGGTGCCTCACATAAATGTTGTCATTCTCTCAGCCCGTGATTTATTTCTAAAACATTTGGGACTCATTAGGTCATTTTCATTTCAGATTAGCTGAGTATGGATGTCTTTATGCAAAACATGCTATTCTTCATCAAATGTTAACCTTAAAGAATATTGGGCTGGATAACTTACTTATGAACAAAATAAGCTATTTTATTACCTGAAAACCTATTTTTCCTTCGCATTTCTGATAATGACTGGAATTCATTCTAATTTTATTACTTAAATATGTATTGACAGAGTCAACTGCAGCAAACTATAAGACAGTTTGGGATTCACTGAATTCTCCATGAATTTGTGTTGCTGCTGTCATTGTTATCAACCAAAATTTTAAAAAATATGTATTTTTTTCTTTATTCTTCACTTTTTTGTAGTAAAAATTTTTTTAAATAGCACTATCATTAATCAAGACTATTCTAAACCCTTGTCTGTGTAAGTAAAGTCAGTTTTTATTTGTTAAATATAATGAT